TTCATGGTAAAAACGGTAATCTCCGGGTATATATCTATGACAACACTGGGAAATTAAAGCACAAGTTTGAACGAGAATCGCGTTATGCACACAGCTTGGGTATTTGTGGGCAGGGTGAAATCATGATACCATCAGAGAATGACTGGGCTGTGGAGATATACTCCGAGGAAGAAAATCTGAAGTCAACAATAAAACTATAATATATACCAAAGGTCACGAGCTCTATGGGTTGGTATTTCGTTATATCATTTGTAAAATAGTTCTCTTAACCTATGTCCGTATGCATGTCGAGGGAAAACATTCCAATTTCCTTCTGTGCTACACTGAAGCAGGTGAACTGGAGACCATGCACAACGTTCTTTGCTAAGAGAATTGACCCTACTTTTTTTGGCCTCAAAATTAATTTTAATCCAAGTGGTCCTGTACTCCTGTTGCTGTTGTAAGGAGCAAAAACATCACTTTCATATGAAGGAACTTTCCATATGGCTGTACAGTATATTTTGTAAGGATGTCACATTGCAAGAATGTCATAACAATATTAACTTTTTATTATCTCAGATGAAAGAAATGTAACTAGATGGTATATCACACAAAGTATATAATCTTGTGTTCAAATAAAAATTGTTTGGTTATCTTAGTATCATCACAACGTGACATTTGTTGCACAATAATGGTAGTTCCTGTCAAGTGACAGGAAGAACAAACCATAGATTAAATTACATCATGCACACTATATTAAAAGTCACAGTCACAGTAGGTTGATTATATTTCGTGAGTGAATGTGCTTGGGCATATTGTCTATTTAGTCTAAGTTCAGTATCCTTTGTTGTTTGAGAATAAGAGTTCAGTATGGCATCAATTGTCACAAAAATTCTAAGTTCAACAGTGGGTTTACTCGTGAATAAAGCTCGCGACTCGACTGCGGCTAAACTGAAGGAAGGCGATGTAACAAATGCCAAGATTCGCGAGCTCGTCGTGAGAGAGTTGAACGACGTCAAGACGAAACTCGATGGTCTTTCCCGTGCGAATTTACTCAGCAGCTACAACTTCGTAGAAGAAGGAGTAAATTTACTTATTGTTTCGATTAATCAATCAAAGCTCGAGCAGAAAGCTTTGCCTTTGGTGAATGAAACCCAAGATGATCAAGGTGAAACAGCAATGCCGATTGGCGCCCAGTCTGAGATCTTGGACGAAGCGTTACTTTCTCACGCCATGAAAGAGGTAAAGATAAACTCAGATATAAAAGACTTAAAATCTGCTAAGAAACAATTCGAGGAAGCGCGTACCAGAGCAACGGATGTTTTTTTTAATGAAGCATTAAGTACCAAAGATAGGATCTTGGCTGTGAAGATACGAATAGTTTCCGAAATACTGGAATATCTCGAAAGCCCGGAAACCGCGATTACAGGATGTCTACTGTTTCTGAAAAAGTTACATGGCTTACCTACCATTGAAGAGACATTCTCGGTGTACCTCAATGGTGGGATGAAGTCGTTAGTGAATAAAAGCGAGCGAGTCGAGAACGTACAATCCGTAATGCTGATTAACCGTGTCTTATTTTCAGTATGTTTCGAAATTCAGCAGTAAGTATTCCACCGTGCTCGCCTGGCCAACAATTAAACTTGATGATCGTAGTTTTCACCCAATATTGAATTGGCAGGAGATTTCGACAAGAAAATCTATGGGTGAAGAACTGACCCAACTTCCCAAGGGCAAGGGACTGATACTTGAGGAAAAAATATATCCTGACTATTCCGATGTAAATAGCCATGGGGATATTATTGTTAAAGAAGATCGGGGAAACATCGAGATTATAAATCAGACAGGCGAAAGCAAGGTGGTTAAACTACCTGAACCTGAACCCATTGTCGTTGAAGGTAAAGTTGTTAAGCAACGTATTTCAAGTCTTGCTGTTGATAAGAATAACAATGTTTACGTGGTGAGATGGGTTCGAACAAGTACGGAAAATGGCTATGTGGAAAGTTACGTGTTGACTGTACTGGACGAGAACTACAATGTGAAGCAGGACTCCCGCACATTGGAATTTCTGGACACATCATGGTATGATGTGAAGATCGCCATAAACAAGAACAATAATATCATCATGATGAAAGGCAATGACCTCCAGGTATATGTCTGTGACAATACTGGAGAATTAAAGCACAAGTTTGAACGAAGCTCACGTTTTGCACGCAGCTTGGGTATTTCTGGGCAGGATGAAATCATGATACCACTCGACGGTGACCGGGCTGTGGAGATATACTCCGAGGAAGGAAATCTGAAGTCGACAATAAAACTACCAGAAGGTCACGAGGTCCGTGGGTTGGCATTTCATTATGTTATTTGTAAAATAATTGTCTTAACCTATGTCCAGAAAAAATATTCCTATTTCCTTCTGTGCTACTCTGAAGCAGGTGAACTGGAGACCACAACGTTGTTTTCTAAAATTGGCGATGGATATCGGCCCAAAATTAGGTCTCATCCAAGTGGTCCTGTTGCTATTGTAAGGGTGGAAACGATCACTTTCTTGTGAAGGATTAACTTCATGCGGTGTGTAACCATGGCCGCGGGTTAATTGGCATTTCATTATGTCATTTGTAAAATAATTGTCTTAACCTATCTCGAGAAAAAAATTCCTATTTTCTTCTGTACTACACTGAAGCAGGTGAACTGGAAAGCACAACGTTCTTTGGTAAGAGAATTCGGGGTGAATATACGCCCAGCATTTATTCTCATCCAAGTGGTCCTGTTGCTGTTGTAAGGGAAAAAGCATTACTTTCATTTGAGCGTACTTTCCATATGTTGGTCTAGTTTATAGAAAGACTTCCTATAAAATCCTGCCTGTCAAACTTAAATAATTATCTTAAATAGCATAAGTGGTAACTGTAGCCTTGGTATGGGACTGATTTGTGATCGTTTACTGATGTGAACTTCAAGTATTTCATATAAACGTTTTGACACGTGATTTTTCCATGTTCCTGACTCTATAATACAATTTAGTAAGAACGTTTTACAGTGAGTTTATTGATTTGAACATCTAATCAGGTATTTGTTGTTTTGAACAATTGTATATTTAAGAAGTACAAGATGGAGTAATACGAGAAACAAAATTACTGAAACTTGCAACAAAAACTGATTTCAATGCATGTTAATTAAAAATCTTCACAGATAAGTAACCAAACATGAGAAAATATTTGTAAACATCCCTAACTAACATGCATTGAAATCAGTTTTGTTGCACGTGGCAGGAATTGTGTTGCTCGTATTACTCCACCTTTAACAGGCTTGAACATATATAAACTTTAAAAATGCATATAGTTATAAACATTATGATATATCAATTATATATTTCAATTATTGTTTTAGAAATGTTTTAAATAAAATATTTCTAAAACGACAATTGAAATATATAATTCATATATCATAATAGAATTTTCATGCATGTATCGATCTAATTTTAATTAATATTCCTGTTCATTTAATATTATATCTTGCCTTTATAAAGTTGTCATAGTCATAGACAGGCTTAATAAATATGATATATTTAACTAGCCGTTGTTTCAGACACGCAATTGCAAAACGGTTTTTAACCAAAATCATATATCGGATTGTTCGCTTGCATTTTCCCAACATAGCAATTAACGCATACATATATAGTCATATATATATAGCAATCGCGAATAGGGCGGTACAACGGTAGAAATTTGACATATTATATAATTTCTTAAGTAAAATGTTATACATGACATTTTAAGTGGAACGTAAGCCCTATATCTAAATGCCAATATAGGCATGAACAATTGTGCATCGCATGGCAATTCAATTTATTTCATCAGTTTAAAATGCATTTTGTATAAGTCGAAATTAAGCCTTTCACAATAAGCCTTCTGTCACAATATAAGCAATACTCCAATAGAAAACGAAACTAAAATTTCGAAGGAAAAGACTATCTTGAAATTTAACCAATTACCGTATTTACTCGTTTAAGCGCCGCGGCGCTCTTTAAATTTTTAGAGCTTCAGATGCGGCGCTCATTCGTGGGCGGCGCTCAATCGGGGGCGGCGCTCTTTAAAAATATTTTATTTGTGAATTATCACAAGAACTTTTAACTAGAAAATAGACAAGTTTTAAAAGGATTTTTTCACTAAATGTCCCAATTTTGACGCCGAAAGTTTTTACACTGTTTAGTGCGGCGCTCATTCGGGGGGCTTCAAAAAAATTGATCTCAAATGCGGCGCTCATTCGGGGGCGGCGCTCAATCCAGTAAATACGGTAAGCTATCATATCTGAAATACGTTTTATCGAACTTGATCGAGATCTCAACCAGCGCAAGATCTGAGATCCCACCTAACTGGGTTGACTATATAGCTTCGAGTCTGTTTCACACACTCTCCAAGGCAAAGGGTGTTTTATTTGAGAATTATATAAAAGGCGCGCCGAAATTGCATGCAGTCAGGACTCAGATCAATATATTATACAATGTAGTATAAAGATTTCAAAAACTCAATAATTCAGCAGGAAAACACAAAGAAAAATCATAAGCGTGCATGTCGTGGTTTTATATGTGATAAAAAATCATGTTAATTTACATAAACTTTAGCTTTGATTTTCTCGGTTTAGACAAAGTTTATTTTAAAAATTACTTCGCCAATGAACTCGTAAAAGATGAGTCGTTTTTGAAGCCATTTAAAGCACGCGTAGTCGTGTATGAAACACTCCGCTACGCGCGTCGTGTTTTATATGTGATAAAACACTCCTGCGCGTGCTTTAAATAGTACATAGTCACTCAGGGGCTGTTGAATGAAAACTGTATCTTTAAAAGTGATTGACAAAGACTCTGTGATTAAAGCATTTTCGAATTTCGATGGCAGAAACTACGACTTATATAGGATACAAAATCAAAATGGATACCATGCACTGAA